AGCGTCCCTGCAGAGACGCAGTCATCAATTCCATGTTGTAGATCATTTCCACCCTATCTATCCATTGGCGAAATGAAGGGGCTACCTGGCTTCTCCACATCGTGGCGATGAGAGATTTTGCTGCCGTAAGAAGGTGTATCACGAGGCCCCTTTTGTAGGTGGTAATTGGCATGCTCGTGTGGTTCAGTAGCATCGGCAACGGCTGGAAAGGGATGTCTATCCCAGTAACGTCTCTGATCCCTTGGTGTATCACTCGCCAGAAAGGTTCAATGCGTGTGCACGACCACCAGATATGGACCCCGGTACCATCCGCGTCTCCACACCTCCAGCACTCCCCCGAGATGGACTCATGGGCATGACGAAGGATGTCCGGGGTTCTATGCCAACGCGACAATATCTTGTAATTGCACTCCTGAAATTTGGAGCAGATGGTCCCCTTGTGCGTCAATTGGAAGATCTTTTGCCATTCTGTGGCAGATAGCTCGACCCCTGTTTCCCTTTCCCACCGTACCGTGAAGCCTAAGGGGCTCTGGTCCCCACTACTCTGCAGCATGGAGTATAGGTGCGATATGCCATGGATGAGATGCTGTCTGGCGACGCAGAGTTGTTCGAAGTGGGACAGTGGGCGGTGAAGGTGAGCCTTCCCAGCAAGCGAGGTTACATAGGTTGTGAGCTGGTAGTAGCGAAATTTGTCAAGAACGCTGGGTCCGCGGTCTTGGAGTAGAGCGGCCAGCGGTTTAAGGGCCGGTCCATTACACCACTGGTGCAGGTAGGTCCAATCCGTGGCCCCAATGTTCCTCAGATCACCCGAAGAGAGTCCCCCCGCCAGCTATTTCAGCTTTTATTACTGGTTTCTTTTTAAACAAATGACTTAGTGATATCTCTTCTGAGATGTATAGCCATATATCACGTATTTGGCCCATCCTCTACCTGTAAGGAACAATTGGATATCCTATATGGTACATAAAAAGATATTCACGTGGACCTTAACAATATATATATATATATGTATATGCTGGATTTTGGTCTTGGATCGGGTGATGTTACACACGTTTAATTTCTGTAAGCAGGACTAGCCATTTCTCGGCATCCCGTCCTGCCCCTTTCCCCGCCCCCTTTGATGCCTACTCTCCCTTTACGTCGACCAGACCGAGATAAAAAATGGGAGGAGCATTGGTGCCCTCCTCTCTCCGTCCTTCAGACTCCGCCTTCAAATGCCCACATGAGCTTTGATGCACGCATGGATGTACCGCCTAGTTTTCTAGGCATCAGACGGACAAATTTTCTCTCCGCCCATACCACGCCCCATGTACACACCGGTGGACATTCACCAGATGATTTGGGGAGTTCTGGGATTGGTTGACAACGGTTTAAAAACCATTTCATTCACAGAGGTATTTTTAGCCCCTGACGAAGGTGCATTAGACGCACCGAAACACGCGTCGGGTTTTAAGTTTAACACTTTTTTTTTGTTCACTATGGTAGCACTGGCGATTTGATTTTTCTTTATTATTTTCTCAGCATTGAGCTATTTTCTTTGAAGGGATTCTACTTAGAAGCAGCTTTCTCTTTTTCCTCCTTCTATTTAGGGAGAGCATAGAACACCCACGAAGGTGTTTCCTTTAGGAGTTGTAGGGATTTTTTACTTTATTTCTTATCTTGCTGGAGATGCTGTCTTTACTGGGAACATTCCCATATTTAACTAGGGACAGCACACTACACCCTTGAAGGTGTCTCATGTAGGAGATATATGTAGGATTTTTCTCCAATGTGTTCTAATTTAGGTGGTGAATTTTGTATATATTTATATACTTTGTCCTTCTAAGTACCTGCTAATTAGTCATTTACTGCCCCCCACTCAGTCCTTGGGGATCCTACTATTATCTACTACTCTAAGGCTCCAGCCTATCCCTCCTTAGAATCCTTGATATATGGTATTTTCTCTTCCCATATATCTTTAGTGCCCCCACCTTCTCCTTTTTTTAGTATAATTAATAAAGCAATTTTTGTTCAGGTTGGGGCACTTCCTGGGATGACTCTACAATATATCTATATATACCATATATTAGTAGACTAGATATTTGTGTCTATACGTTTCTCAGTGCTGTGGGTGTAGTTCAAATATATATAATTTTCCTATTCATTGTATTTAAAACCAGTTTTGAGACTCTTTCTTCTCTCTATTTTTTTTCTTATCTTTAAATACTTTAACTAGGGTACAAGCCCTTTATTGGTGGATCTGGAACCACCACCCTGACCTTTAGTGTGTTCTACATTTCTCTCCTTAGGGTGAGTTTGTGGACACACTCTCATTATTCTATTTACTGAATCAATGCATCTTTATGGGGAGCAATAAACGTCTTCATGCAGAGAGTGGAGATGCTGAACGTCAGTGGTGCACAATATGTTGTACCAACCCAGTGACAGCCACTAGAGGTGTTCTTATGAAGTAATGTAAACACTACCTTTTCAGTACAAAGAAAAAGTGATCTGTGCAGTGTAAAAAGGTGCTTAATGATAAATACACAAAAGATGTACAGCAGCTCAACACACGTGTAAAATATCCCAACTTTACACAAATAAATATGTCAAAAATTGAACCCGGTGGAACACACCGCCAAAAAGAGACTCACTCCCCCACTGGTAGGATGTAGGTGGTGAAGGTCACTTTATTTTATTTACTTTTAACCTGGTCATCAAGAATTTTGGAGTATTTATTCACCCAAGAATCCCAGGTGGGGATTATACCACCCACGCTATTATAGTGAGCAGTATACCCTGCTCACTTAAATGTGAGTATTATACCTTTCTTATACCAACCTGTTAAATACTATAACCAGAGAGCACTATCTTTGGTTTTCTCTCATCCCCCATACCGAGGACCTTCACCACCTACCAACACCTACATCCTACCAGTGGGGGATTGACGCCACTGAATGCCAGTTATACCTGAGCTTGTACTAGCTCTCTAATAGGTCAGTAGGATTACTACCATCGCTGCTGATCTAATTTTACCAATACCAGAGACAGATTACACTATTGGAATTTTTTTCCCATTTACATGCTCCTACTGAACTTGAACATCCGACTACCTCAGAACCTCTACGTTCTATATATCTATACTGCACTCAAATCCTTCAGTCAACTTGGACTGTTTTACCTATATGTCTTATAACCAGGACTATTCCATTTCCAATTGTTTGCCTTTCAGTATGTAAGTACACCATTGGTTTTATTATATTACATCATTTGTTTTTATTGTGGTGCGACCTATAATTTTTGGTTTTATACTTTGATCAGAGAGGATATTTAAACCCTGGGTATGTAGTATATTGTTGTCTTGATAAAGTTTCAGAATAGCTCTACACACATACCTGCTTCGGCTGTTTCCTTGTCTCCAGCTCTGCACCCCATCTGGGATCCTGTCTCATTTGGTTGACTGCCGCGGTCTTTTGCGAAGATTCCGACCGCAGGGTTTTAACGAAAGGTGTGTTCATTCATTCTGGGCAGCAAATTCGTTTGCACAGCTTTTTTCATCTGTGTTTAATTAACATCGCAGTCTTTTTCGAAGATTCCGACCGCGGTAATACAGTGCATTTGCTTTTGCCTTTTATTTAGCTATTTGGTGTCATCTGGGGGTCTCTCTCTTTTTTCGGTTACCCCTGTTTTGGATTTTATTTCTACCTCTGGTGCGGGGCCCACACCGAGGTCAGGTACTACTTATTTATATTTTGTATTTTTATTTGTTTTATATTATTTGATATATCATTTTTTGCTGTATATGTTTCCCTTTGCACATTATCCATATTATTGAGGCATTTGTACATTATTCATTGATATATTCAAAGCTAATTATATCTAGCAACTTTGTTGCATATGGATACTGTTCTGAGTATTTTATTTAATGTTTTTATACTTTGTTTTTACTTTGTGTGGTTTTTAGGATATAACCAATAGGGAGATTGTGAAACAGCCTCTGAATTATTGTATTATATTTAATTTGTGGATGTTTATTAAAAGATTTATATCTATATACTTAATTTTTTAGTTTGAGATATTTTTTCGGAGCGCACACACCTGTTGTTTATTGTGAGTTAATAACTCTATTTAGTCGCTTGCTGGTGTTTTGATGCTGCCCCCTTTTTAATTTTAATTGTATTCATTTTGAGTAATTATAATACAGTTGTACCGATCTTTTAATATATTTGAATATTAAATGAAAGCCTTATTTCCCCTGAATAAAATTATATATAATAAGTGTGGGTGCATTTAATATGAAAGAGATGAATTACAGTTGGACAGACATGTAGCGCAATTGCCAGGTTTTGTTTCGGTTTTGTTTTGTTCACAACATGTACATTTGGCTTAGTCCTTAAGGGGTTAAAGGAAGGACGGGGCCTAATTTTTATTTTTATTTTTTACAGCTATATGGTCATAAATACATGTTTGTGTTCCTGACACTATAGTGTTCCTTTTAATCTTTATTTTTTGTAATAAAAGTTATTCCATTAAAGTTACGAATGCTTCACTATGAGAAGCAATTCAATAGAATAAAAAGAAAGTAAAATATGAAATAAAACAATTCATATTTTTATTAGTACTCCTTTAAAGCAATTCTTACTTCAACATTAAATATATAAATTTTGTCTGTTTAGATGGACTTAATTGACTAAGTGAATAGCTAACTATGACCTTGATTTAAAGCATGTTTTTCACCTTTTTTAGTATTTCATAAATATTTTATTTCATTGACATTTCAACGCATTCAAAAGATCGCATAAGAAAACATAGGGACTAATTTGTCTTATGGTAAAGCCCATGGTTGACAAAAAGCAGAGCTCCTCTATCAATTTTTGTCAAATTCCAGCAGCCATCACAAAGGACAGCTGTGGGATTCATGCTTTGTCAATGGAAGATCCTGCATGCCCTTTAATCCCTTAAGGACATATCACTGAATAATTCCATCATTCAGTATTTTACCAGCAGGGACTGTTTCCCTGCTAGTAACAGGGGAACACCGGACTCCCCTCTATCAGCTGGGGCAGAATTGTTGCTCTATTTGCAGCACTCAAAGTAAACACTGCATACAGGAATTTAATTAGGGTTTTAATTCCTATTTCATACATAAGTTATTTGTAATGATCTTTTTAAAGAACTGAGACTGGGTGAGAGTCTAACGGAGCAGGGAAGGGAGTTACATTGGAACGTTGCATCACTAGAAAAGTCTTGAAGTCAAGTGTCCGGTGCGAGTACGAATAGACGCAGAGCGTAAGGGCCTGGATGGGACATACTTGTGTATCAGTGAGGATAGGTAGGTAGGAGCAGCATTATGTAGAGACCTGTAAGCAGGCACCAGAATTTTAAATTGAGCCTTATATCTTACGGGAAGCCAATGTTAGGACTAACAGAGGGGGAAGACATCGCAGGTGCGAGCAAACAGGAAGATGAGCCTTTACCACCTCAATCATTTTAGACTGTAATGGGGCCAGATGAGAACATTGTGGGGATATTTATGGGATAATAATAGTAACAGTGAGAATTGCCCACTAATTCAATTCTCAGATCCCAAAGAACGTTTATCGTAAGTGAGAAGTATTTCATATAATAATATCACAATGTATAAAAATAGATTTTTATTTATAATGACAAATTAATTAATAAAAATATTATGCAACATGCATGACAATAATCAATGAATATCCAGTACAAAATGATATGCAATACAAAGGAATGGGTATTACGTTTCAATGGCTAAATAGCATTTCCTGTCAAGACTTTATTTATGACTATCTTTAACACAGACTGAAAGTGAAACTTTTCACAGAAGAACAGAATTCCTCAGAGTGCAGCGTAAGGTCGTAAAGTTTAGCTGACAGTTAGAATAACCCTTTCAATGCTGGCTAGATCTCCTAGGTAATTAAGATCTATTCTTATGTAATTTTTAAATAAAATAACATTGAAACCAGTTCATTAGTCATTTCCTGGAACCATCCAATAAGAGAATCTACCATAATTATATAAGCAGACTTTGTTTTTAATTTGTCTAAAAGATATCTATCTTAATTTAGAGCAAATCAATACACCTGGATAAAAACAGCGGTATGCTAACACGTGATAATATCACATTGATATATAATTATTCTTAATTCCACCTGCAGAATGGAATGTTTATAACTATATATTCTTAGTTAACTAAGATTTCTTAATATGGAAATCTGACCGTGCTTTATCCAGTCATATATAATGCTATTAATTCATTTTAATTAATTTAATTAATTAAATGAAACCAGTATAATTACCAGTTGAGTAGATATTTCATCCGATTGGTAGATAGTCTCAGGAACTTATTTGGATGTCTCTCTGCATGGAGGTGTTGGTTAGAAAGTCAGTAAATTCTAAGTGTTAGAGTTTTAGGAGTAGAGTGTTAGTCTCAGATGTTGTCCGAGTTGGAATCCCCAAACTTCCAATTCCTCTCTCCTCTCCTTTGCATATCTCTGCCTATCTCTATCTTCCCTTTGTCTTAACTTTTAAAGGGCCAGACTCTCTGTACGTCATCAGTTGATAACCCAATAGAAGCACTAGAGGTGTGGTTATCTTCCAGATCACAATTTAGGTATTTGGTCTATAGAGGGCAGTCTTGTCCCACTAAACATACCTATCCAGGAAAGAGTTAACTTTTCCTGGTGGCTATTTTGACGTCATTTTGGCCTATCTAGATAGTGGCCATAACTAACGTATCCTTCACAGATCAAAGGGTTTATTTAAGTTTTGTCCAGACTATGTGTCTGGCAATCTGAGTTTTGACCCATAACTTACAATGGGACCTTATATGTATAGACAGTTAAATTTTATTATTTAATCTTCTCTGTCACAATTGTCTGGGTTTAGAATTGATTATATTCTTCTTATCACTTGTTTATACTATGCATTCCTTTAGCTCTGGCAAAGTGGCTAGTCTTACAGAAAGAAATCTTGTGTCTTTTTGTTAACTTGAAAATAACAAAATGGAGTCTGGTCTGTTCAGAGTGACTCAGAATATACACTTTTAATTTCTATCATAGCACAAGATGTCTGCCGATATAAATACTCTGACATAATCCCCCTTTAGTGCATTTCGTAGCCAAAATTAATTTAGCTTATGAATAAGCACTATAGAAGTTACCAGACATATTGTGCAATCACATCATTTCTAACATAGGCCCGTGCGTGGAATGAACATTTTTGTATATGTTTGTACCTGTAAAAGTTTTGAACTTTACACTTAGTACAATCAACCATAATATCATTATTATCATAGTACACCCAAAAACAATCTTAACATGGATGAACCAGTCAACACGAGCAATAAGGTCAGTATCTAGCTCAGAGTATTTAAATGTATCCACAGAAATGTTATCTTTTCTGATTGACATTTGGATAGTGTGGTTGGGCTTGTGGTCCAGCAAGAATTTTAGATTAGAATCTAGAGGGATATCTAGATTCTGGAAGGGATCCACCATCTCAATAGCACTTTCGATGACGTCAGTGTACACTGGGTATAGCGTAATGTCACCGATGGTGATACGAGAGTCGTGGGGTACCTTGATCAGTGAAACAGGTGCTGGTAAGGCAATTACTTTATTAGTCACCTGGTCCCTGCGAAAAACACTTATGTTTTTAAGACACGTGCTTACCAACCATTTATCTTTTACTAAGATAGCATGTACTAACGCATTACTGTCAGTTTTTGACATAGTTACTTGACATGTTTCAGAGCCATGTTTAAGGTACTCGATCCCACACAAAGCATTGGTAGAATCGTACACAAAAGGTTTTCCATCACATTGGAAATTTTTGTCTTTGAATTTCTCACAGTCATTCAAAATGGGTATAGAATACCAATCTGGTACCCATGGTTGAAAAGCCAAAACATCTGGGGTTTGGACTTTTACGTGGATATTTTCCTTCCATGTACCGACATTGTAGATTGTTTTCATTTGAAAAATGTTTTTGGGAGTTACATATGGTATGGCCAATAAAAAGCAAATCTCCATACGTTCCGGATCAATTAAGAGAGGTATAGCGCTCCCCATCTCAAAGGCCAGATTTAATTGCATAGGCTCAATTGTCTCTCCATCCACATTGGCAAGCATCGCATGAACAATATCCTTGGATACAAAATACAGAGGTATGCGTCCCCCTGCCAATTCAATCATTCCAGTTTGCACTTCGTCAAGAAAAGTAAGTGTGTGGAACAATATTGGGTCATGCAGAAATAGAAGTTCACGCTTAAATAAGTCATGACTTTGGTGCAACTCAGTGGATTTGGCAATTAATTCCGAATGCAAATTTGTTGTAACAACTGTGTCTTCCACAATAGTTAGCACGTCTTGGAGAAGTGTTCTTTGCTGTTGTATCACCTGATGAATATCGTTAATGTGTTGCTTTAGCGCATAGATTTCCATATCCAGCTTTTGTACAGTAATAGAGTTGGCTGCAGACATTCCAGTTGCGACAACTGCACCGACAGTGCCACAAACTAATGCAACAATTATAGCGGTGAGGAACCTTTTGGGTCGGTTGCTCATCGGAATAGAACTGGATACAAATGGTTTCCGGGCTTGCTCCAAGATGTTTCGCACACGGTCCTGTGCTCTTTGGAGGTGCATCTGGTACCAAGTCTGTAACTCAGGAAGCTGCATCGATGAAATGTTGTATGCCTTCTCGATGGAAATCTTGGGGTCCAAGCTGACGAACACACGTCGGGTCAGGATCCTCTTCTCTGTTAAGATGAACCCTGGTGTCTCTTGAATCAGGATGCTGGAGGATGGTCCCATCTCTGCGATCGGGTCGGTCCGTAGCTCTTGGCACAGGAGCAGTACGATCCAGAAACACGCCACATCCTTCTTGGACATCTTTCGACAGTCACGGATCAGGAACTCGTTTCAGACTTATCTACTAATGATTCAAGGTTTGTTAAGCATACAAACTTATAACAGTGTGACATCACTTGGCCTAGGACAACACATTATTACGATTCATCAACATATGTATTCTCTCTAATTCTATTTTTATAACTTCATCCCTCACTACATTTATTACTGACTCTTCAGTAATTTCGCCTATAGCAGTTAAACAAGCTAGTAACCTGCTTAAAAATGTAGTTATTGGATGGCAAGGAAATGGTTAATGACATGAACGTACATGAGATCATGGCACATCACAACATTTCACATCATACTATACCACGTGAATCAAGCATTCATCCAGGTTAGTCGTTCATCCTTCTGCATTTGAATCCACACCTATAATCCTTAATTGAGATTTAGGATGACAAGCACGCAACTGGTTAATGTGAACCCACTTTTCAATAAAATCACCATCCTTAGGAATTTTTATCTTATACGCTACTGGGGAAATTTTGTCAATGATGACATATGGCCCTTTCCAAGAAGGTAAAAATTTCTTTTCCTTGACTTGATTTCGCGCAAAGTTATACAGATAGACTCGATCTGTTATCTCATATTCCTTTTTCGTGGTTTTTAGATCGTAATAGGTCTTAACCCCTGTCGCTGCTTTTTCTAGATTCTTTTGGGCAAAAGCAAACACATGCTGTAAATGCTTGCGCAAATCTTCGATATACTGATGCGTAGTGGCAGCATTGATCAAGTTATGATCCGAAGTACGATATAGTAAATGCTGTGGTAAAACCATCTTTCTTCCTGTCATCAATTCAAAAGGTGACAATTTGGTAGCAGTGCTAGGTGTAGCTCTAATCGCCATTAAAACTAGGGGCAATTTAATGTCCCAGTCTTTACCAGACTCCTTAACATATTTCTTCAGAATATTAACGATAGACTGGTTATATCGCTCTACCCCCCCGCTAGACGCAGCGCGGTATGCAATATGTAGCTTTCGTTTAACACCTAGAATGTTCCACATCTTAGCCATTACGTCACTGGTAAAATGACTACCTCTGTCTGACTTAATTCTTTGAGGCAGACCGAACCTGGAAAAGACATGGTTAATCAACAAAGTGGCGCACACGGTACTCGTGTTCTCTTTACAAGGCAAACATTCTATCCACTTTGTGTACATACATGTAACGGTTAACATGTATTTGTTACCTCTTGAAGATCTTGTTACAGGACCTATAAAGTCAATTTGAATATCAGACCAGGGTAATGACACCCCCCTCTTCTGAAGTGGTGCACGATGGGTTGGACCATGGGGTTGATATTGCGGACAAATCAAGCATCCCTGACAGTATGTCTTAACATCCCTTAACATGTGTGGCCAATATGCATAATCACGCAATATCTCATATGTGATCTTATCACCACGATGCCCAGATGTAGGTGCATCATGTGCATGTTGGAGCATTAACCCTCTGTATACAGTTGGGACTACCCATTGTTGTATACCATGTTTAGAAGTTCTGACCAGTAACCCATCCATGATACTAAATTGAACTTTATATCTCATCAAGATTCGTAAATCTTCATTATCTTTGCAATCCACATCCGTGATGGGATTGGCAGTAGGGTCTTCTATATGTCTATAGAATATGCCTATGACGGGATCGTTCTTTTGACTAGTAATCAGGTCCTCACTAGGAGCTTCTTGACACCATTGCACGACGTTTAAGTCGGCATTATCTCTAGCCTGTCGTCTAGTTATGGCTTCAACATGAATTGAACCCATAAGATCATCAATGTTTAGGGTTTCACCATTGATGGCAGCTTGTTTTGCCAGTGAATCGGCTAAGTCATTACCATCCTTGTCAATACCTTCTATTTTAGAATGGCCTTTGGTTTTCTTCCAATATATGGTTAAACCATTTTCCTTAACCAACTCATCGATTTTACAAAACAATTTCCCATGTTTAACAGGTTTGTTATTGCTCTTCAGCATTTGGTTACGTTTCCAGCTAGGCAGATATTCGACGAAACTGTTGCGAACATAGTTGGAATCAGTTATAATAACAAATTCTTTGATACCATATTCTATTGCCATTTGAATGGTCTTATATACTGCACAGAGTTCGGCTATCTGACTGCTTTTGGGACCAATATTGTATCCTATAGATACATTGGGATAATCACCTGTCCAGGCGATTCCGATACCTGCAACTAACTTCCGTTCAGCACCAACGACGTGGTGATATGAACAACCATCAATGTATACCCACGGTAGTGGTCGACAGTATTCCTCATCATAAACTTTATAAGGAGATAGCAATTGCTCTTCTAGGAAGTCATCTCCGGTGTCATTATCATCCAGAGATGGAGCAGTACAGTCATGTAATTCTGCTAAACCTTGGGCAACTGGGCTTCTCTTATTATGTTTATAACGGACTTCTAACGGCCATCCCTGTAAGGATAGAGTCCATGCAGTAATCCGACTGTTAGAGAGATTACCGTCTCTAATTCTTTCACTCTGCAGATACTGTAGAGGTTGGTGAGCTGTTTCTACAATTATTTTCTCACCTTGGATATAGCTACGAAAATTTTGTAGTGCCCAGACAGTCGACAATAACGCCTTCTCACACGTGTTGAATTTAACTTCAACAGGTGACAAAGTCTTGCTAGCATATGCAATAACTTTGTTTAAACTGTCCTGCTTCTGATACAGAACAGCACTGATGCTTAAATCGGTATAACCTGTCTCCAGATAGAAGGGTTTACCCCCCTCTGGGTATGCTAAAGAGGGTGCTTGAGTAAGCTTCCTCCTCAGTTCACTTACCGCTTGGTCCTGAGGCTCCCCCCAGTTCCAGGTAGTTTCCTTTTTAAGCAGGTGTAAGAGTGGTTTCGTTATTTCTGCATAGTTATCTATAAACTTACGGGAGTAGTTAGTCATACCAAGGAACAATCTTAATTCCCTGATGTTTGAAGGTGTTTTAGCCTTTAGTACGGCTTCAACCTTCTTCCTCTGGGGATTTAATCCTTCAGAAGTTACCTCATGTCCGAGGAAATTGACATGGGTGCGACACCATTGCGCCTTTTGTAAAGACAGTTTAATCCCTGCCTCTCTTAACTGAGTGAGAACATGTCTAATCTCTATGATATGGTTATCAAAGGAGGTGCTTTTCAGCAAGACATCGTCGACATATGATAACGTTCCTCTCTCAAGTGCGTCAGGCATAGCTTTATGCATGAACACAGCGAATTCATGACCAGAGTTTATATAACCGAAAGGCATACGGGTCCAGGTATACTGCTGCTTTCCAAATGTGAAGGCCAACTTGTATTGGTCTTCATTATGGACTGGTACAGTCCAATATCCCTGCGCACAGTCAATGGCAGTGAATATTTTGGGTCCCTGCATTTGTACCAAACATTGGTCTATGTATGGCGTTGGCCAACCAGACATATAGATGCGTTTATTTAGCTGTCGTAAGTCAGCGCATAAACGCCATTGTCCATTAGGTTTCAGAATCCCCAAGATCGGATTATTATACGAACTGTGCACTGGACGTATAATGCCCCTTTCCTTTAAATTCTGAATGATGTCTTGTAGACCATCATATGACGCTAATGGGAGTCTATATTGTTTGATAAATACAGGTGGTAAATTTGGATCAGTTTGTATTCTGGCTACGTGGAGGTTAGTTAACCCACAGTCATAGGAATCTTTGGCAAAAATATCTTGGAATTCCATTAGGATTTCCTTTAGCTGTTGCCGCTCAGCATCGTTGGAGCAACCGTCAGCTAAAGATATTTGCTCTTCTAGCCTTTCCTGAAATCCTGGAAAGATTTCAGGCTGGCCTATCTCATAAGCTTCTTCAAGCCTAGAAGTTAGGTCAGTTCGGTGTTGACTTACCTTTTCTCTTAGGTCGTGATACTCTTGTGATTCCTGCTCATTGAGCGGATGATCCAAGGTGATAGATGCTTCTTCGATTTTACACGAGCCTTCTTCGACGTTGAAGGGATATACAGATAGGATAGTGAATAATCCTTCTGGGGAGGAATGGAATATTTGATCGACAAGTTCGTCCTCAGTTAAGTATTCTTCAGGGATAAGGCCTATAATTTGGTTTTGGAAACCAAATGTATAGTACTCAGCATCCAATGCCAGACCTAATAATGTTCCTTTTGGTAAAGTAACACTATTGGGTGTAACATTGTTGACCATGATATAGATGGGATTCTTACCAATACTTACCATTGGTGTATGTGTTACCACCATCCCTAATTGTTGTATCCTGTTGGATAAACAGATTAGGGCATCAGAGTTTTCAAATCTCTGACCCTCCTTGACCTGTAGGGGTAAAAGAAAGTTACTTGTCCCCTGTGGAATGGTTATGTCATCAGGAACTTGGATACTTACCGCATATGGGAGTATTTGTCCTGATTTCAGGGTGTTTTCCTCGTGTAGGTATCCACAAGGATTACCTTTTAACCTTGTCCACAAATTGGAATTAATCAGGTCAAGGTGTATGGCAAAGCGATGTATGACATCATTGCCAACGTAAACCTGATAGCGAGGTTCGTCTATCACTAGGAATAAATGTTTAACTGTCTTATTTCTGATGGAAATAGATAGTAAACATTTTGCTATCACATTGTGACTCTCTGATTCGCCATCCAGATTCTGGATCCACCTGTCATGTGGGGAAGAGTACCTGATCATTTTAGGATTAGCGATCTGCTTTAACCCCTTAAGGACCAAACTTCTGGAATAAAATGGAACCATGACATGTCACACATGTTATGTGTCCTTAAGGGGTTAACAGACTTCTGCTAATATAGCTGTTCTCACTCTTTAAGTCCAGCTTTGCATTCCTACTTCTTCCTAAGTCATTTATCTGAATAGGAAAGAATAAGTTGTTATTAACCCTTTCAATTCTGGCAAGGAATTGAGCATGACCTGCCAGATCTACAGATTCAACATAGTCCCTGTGGAGAGAAATGGT